ATTGTCCTTGAAACTGATTGGCCTCTGCACCAGCGACGGGGCCTCCTTCATGGCCTCGTCCTCTATACCGGCGTTAGACCGGAGGACAGTGGCAAACGGTGAAACAGCGCCAAAGGGAGGCAGGGAGAATGTCGGAGCATTGATTTATCGGGTTGGGCAGTTCATAAGGGGGTCCCGTAGACGTGGAGTCAGTCTCCGTGTTGCCGTCATCGCGTTTTAAAATTAGCAGGACGTTGGAAAATTACCGCCGCTTTCACTACATTGGGTAAAAGCTGCTTGCGGTTGTTGTGTGTTCAACCTGTTGTCCTTCCCCCCTCCCCCGACACCTCCAACTTTAGGCATGGTCGGCTGCGTGCGGTGCTACGTAAGAAGCTGAACGTTCATGCATGTACATAGACGCTCACATAGATCCATAGACTCTCACAGAGACCCATATACTATCATAGACACCCATATACTATCATAGACACCCATAGAGTCACACAGAGACCCATAGACTCACACAGAGACCCATAGACTCGCACAGAGACCCATAGACTCGCACAGAGACCCATAGACTCACACAGATACCCATAGACTCACACAGATACCCATAGACTCGCACAAAGACCCATAGACTCACACAGAGACCCATAGACTCACACAGAGACCCATTGACTCGCACAGAGACCCATAGACTCGCACAAAGACCCATAGACTCACACAGAGACCCATTGACTCGCACAGAGATCCATAGACTCGCACAGAGACCCATAGACTCACACAGATACCCATAGACTCACACAAAGACCCATAGACTCACACAGAGACCCATAGACTCACACAGAGACCCATTGACTCGCACAGAGACCCATAGACTCACACAGAGACCCATAGACTCGCACAAAGACCCATAGACTCACACAGAGACCCGTAGACTCAGAACTGCTTTATGTGTTTAGTTTGTTGCCCTTTCCACCCGCAGCTCCGATTTTAGGCATGGCCAGCTACGTACGGTGGTGCAACGTACATGCACGTGCATAGACTCGCACGGAGATCCTTAGACTCACCACCACCCAACACTGCCAATTAGATGAGGTTTTGTGGGCTGAAGTAGTCACTAATTGGTACGTTTTTGTTTACATGACAAACCTTAATAATGTATCTTCTTTGGTTCTTTCGGTAAAGTCACGTAGAATGAGAATAAAATAATAAATTGATAAAATAAAATAACACAATAATATTCTCACGACGTTTCGGCCACAACACAAGCGGCCTTCATCAGGTGAAGGGGGCGAGACTGTCTGGTAGGACAGCGCTGGAGTGAGAGAGCCACGTTCAGATCACGGCTTTTAAGCCTCAAAACCATCACCTTACCCTACATTGCAGGGGTCACTAAAAAGATCTCCAAAATCCTGAATAAACACAAGATCCAGGTCCGATTCAACACAGTACACAAAATCCGTGATTTAGTTCCATCTGTAAAAGATGCTCTTCCAGACATACAGTACCCGGGCATTTACAAACTAAAGTGCCTCTGTGGTAGTAGCTACATTGGAGAAACCAAAAGACATATCTCGGACCGCATCCGCGAACATAAAGCAGACTTGAAACACGGTAAGACGAACTCCTCTGCCGTGGCAGATCACTGTTACAATTCAGTGGGCTCACATGACATTGACTTCTCCAAGACGGAGGTTCTTTGCAAACCAAATGGCTACCATGAGAGATTCGTTCATGAGGCCATTCACATATACAAGCACAGAGACAATTTCAACCGAGAAGATGGATTCAGGCTTAGTAACCACTGGAAAGATGTGTTAAATCATTTCTGTTCTTAATTAATTGTAATTTTACGATGACCTTCAGACCGCAGCTCTTTCGCCAGCATTGCCTCTTAATACCTCTCACACCACGGTTAATGGTATGGTTTACAACATGGAGTATACTAGGGCTTCGCAGCTGTCTCTCTCCCCCTCCTCTGTTCCGACCATGGACGAACTCGTCCGTCTGAACGGGGCCCGTAGCTATCCGTGGTACGGAAATTTGAGGCTTAAAAGCCGTGATCTGAACGTGGCTCTCTCACTCCAGCGCTGTCCTACCAGACAGTCTCGCCCCCTTCACCTGATGAAGGCCGCTTGTGTTGTGGCCGAAACGTCGTGAGAATATTATTGTGTTATTTTATTTTATCAATTTATTATTTTATTCTCATTCTACGTGACTTTACCGAAAGAACCAAAGAAGATGAATCATTGCAGTCACGAAAGCTTTAAATCGAAACTTAATAATGTAATTGAGGTCGGGTGGTGGCGGCGGTGTTAACGACACATATATTTACGCGATCTAAAAAAAAAACACTTCATCATGGACATTACTCCACGTAGCAATTATCGCCCCCTACCGGCAGGCCATTACCCATCGACGAGGCGGGCGTTAAGCCACCTTGTTGCCGCACAGGGACAGCTGCCCAATAGGGGGGGGGGGGGGGGGGGGTTGGGTGGTGACGCTTGTGCTCGGAAACGTTTCACTACGCGATACATAGAGGTGAGAGAGAGTTAAAGTGTAAGTATGAATCGGTGGGGGGTGGGGGTCGCGTATGAGCAGGTCCGTGTACTCTTGAGACCTTACTGCATAATACCGTGTCAACCCGTACGGATTAGCCCGTATTTTTGTGCAGGGAAATTGAGTTTTCTGGTCCATACGGTGTACAGCCGTTTCAATACGGGCGATAACAAAATAATACGGGCAAATTTAAAAAAAACTTGCTTAACCCTTCGTAATGTTCTGTGTTTATTGTTGTACATTTACAACACGAGTGTGTGCATCCACATATCAAGCAAGCGGCAGCATCAGCATGCAAGATCACAGACGGCAGCATGATAAGACTTTTTGTTTCGTAACATAATTTGTGTCTTTGTGTGTCTCCCTCGTGATGGGACTTTTTGGGATGAACGTTCAGATTTATAACGTCACGGAGTGACCAATAAGGCCTGAATTGCTCTGTAATATGGTAGGCACTGATAAGGGGCTGACAGGTATGTAGTAGTGTCGTGTATAGCAGGAGTCCCCAACCCCCGGGCCGCGGACCGGCACCGGTCCATGGCCTGTTAGGAACCGGGCCGCACAGCAGGAGGTGAGCAGTGAGTCCGCACGTGGCCCGCCCATTATTTTATTTACCACTTCCGTCTGCGCCTCTTTCCCGCACTGCGCACTTGTCTCAGTCACAGTGTTGGTAAGCCCACAAGCTCTAACCCTCTAGTAGCCAAAATGAGTAAAAAACAAATGTCACTGGAGAGCTTCTTTGAAAAGGGGGGAAAGACCCAATGATGACCCCCCCCCCCCCGTCCGTGAAAAATTGCCTTCCACGAAACCGGTCCCTGGTGCCAAAAAGGTTGGGGACCGCTGGTGTATAGTATAGACGTTGAGATTTATAATGGCACGGGGGTGACTAGTAAGGCCTTAATTGGTCTGTAATACGGTAGGCACTGATCAGGGGTTGTGACAGGTTTGTAGTATTGAGGGGGGGGGGGCACTACCGTGCGTCGTCGGCCTGGGGTGTGGTCTGGGGGACTTTTCTTGCCTCCCGTTTTGCTGCATAGCCCCAAGGGTTTGGGGGCATTTGTGAACTTGCAAGATTTGAACTTATATATTTAAGTCCGCTTTGAAAACCCATCCCTTTAAAGTGGCCCTTCCCTCTTTAGTTTGGTCGGTTGCCCCTGGTGCTGTTTTTGTTTCCTGCTTTCTATGCATTGCGCACTGGGATCCTAGGATAGAATGCCGCTTTGTTCATTTGAATTTTTATAATAATGAATATACTTACTCTAGTTTACGTATGCATTTTTTGAGTGACTTGCTTACCATCCCTATGCTTTGCACTCCTCGTCGTGGTTTTTTGTATTGTTCTTTGTTGTTATAACTTGCAGCACTTCCCCCCCCCCCCCCAATACTGTGACATCTGGGACAAAGAGCTTCATAGCTCATCGGATTTCTCCAGGATTAATAAATAATATTATTTGGCCATCACAAATGATAGGGTGTCATCATCGTGTGGAAATGTATAGCGGGAGCGAAAAAATACTCTTCGACGCATGATGTTGTTTCTAAAATGTGGACGGGGAAAAAAACAGAAGGAGGACCCGGAGAAAAATGGACACGACCACAGAGAGAGAGAGAGACGCTAACTCAAAATAGACGGCAATCATTGTCAGGATTGAAACCACAGACCTCCTCTATACCAGGCGAGGTAGTTAACATCTCCTCGCCACCGTGATGATGATGATGAGAGAGAGAGAGAGACACGCCAACTCCAAATATACAGCAGGCATCATCAGGGTCGGGATTGAAACCACGGACCTGTATACCGGGCAAGGTAGTTAACATTTCCTAGCCACGGTGATGATCATTATGAGACCACCTTTGCCAGTAGCAAGATATAGTAATAGGTTTTTACCCTTTTATCTGGCACCAAAACTGACACCTTTATACAAGGGATCATGTTTGCAATAACCACAACACAAGCAGTCAAAATGCAAACAAAAAGAAACAACTGATAATGATATGCACTGTCCTTGAAATTGATTGGTCCACACCCGAGACGGCGTCATCTGGTCCAACACCAGTGGAGACTGGGCTCTAAGAGAAGCCGTCTCGGGTGTGGACCAATCAATTTCAAGGACAGTGCATATCATTATCAGAGTTGTCTCTTTTTATTTGCATTTTGACTGCTTGTGTTGTGGTTATTGCAAACATGATCCCTTGTATAAAGGTGTCAGTTTTGGTGCCAGATAAAAGGGTAAAAACCTATTACTACACCATGATGATGGTGATGGGAGAGAGAGAGACACGTAAACTTCAAATCTACAGCAGGCGTCAGGGTCGAGATCAAAACCACAGACGACCTGTATACCAGGCGGGGCGGTTAACATCTCCTAGTCACCACGATATGAGGTTGGCAGGGGGTGGGGAAGCCGGTTTGGTTTTTAACGAGAGCGCCCCTCTCCTCTCGTTGGTTGTTCACGCAGGAGCTCGGCGGAGGCCAACAAGGAGACGCCCAAGGGCCTGCCGAAGATGGAGGAGCGGCCGGAGGACCGGCTCATCCGAGAGAAGCTCAAGAGCACCTGCATGCCGTCGTGGAAGCACGAGTGGCTCGAGAAGAAGGGCAAGAGGGGGCCCATGGTGAGGCAGAGAGACGGAGTGAGGGAGATGCTGGAGACGTTGGCGTCGCTAATTTATAAATATGTTTTCTTATATATAAATGTTTTTGACATTTTGTATTCCCTTCCGCCCGACGGAAGGTTCCCCACATGGTGGGTACCGAGGATTCCTCCCCCCCCTCCACCTATACATGGGAGGGAGATGGAGAGAGTGGGAGAGTAGGAGATTCTGGAGAGTGCAAGAGAGTGAGGAGATTGGGACAGGGTGAGAGATCGGGAGAGTGGGAGAGAGCGTAGAGAGTGGGAGAGAGTGGGAGAGAGCGTAGAGAGTGGGGTATCGGGAGAGAGGGAGAAGTTGGGAGAGTGGGAGAGAGCGTAGAGAGTGTAGAGAGTGGGAGAGAGCGTAGAGAGTGGGGTATCGGGAGAGAGGGAGAAGTTGGGAGAGTGGGAGAGAGCGTAGAGAGTGTAGAGAGTGGGAGAGAGCGTAGAGAGTGGGGTATCGGGAGAGAGGGAGAAGTTGGGAGAGTGTGGGATCGGGAGAGATCGGGAGTTCGAGAGAGAGCGAAGGGTCAGAGAGCCTTTCGGCCGTTTCGCCGTGCTGGGGATGCGACGTGCCACGATCGCGGTGTGGGGATGGTGGAGGAAGGACAAGAGCAGATTGAAGAGAGAGAGGGGGAGGGGGAAGGGAGGGGGGAAGAGCCGAGTTGCTGATGGTATGAGGGGAGAGGAGGGGCTGGTGGGATGGGAGGGGGTGGCAGCGGGGGGGGGCACGCCGGTATTGTCGCCGTGTGACCTGCCGCGCCTCCTGCTGAAAGGGATTCTTTGCGTGCTCCGTGGCGATGACTGCTGCGCGATTGAATTTCGACCGCTAATTTGACGGCCTACACACCAGGCCCCGTCCGAGGTAGCGGCCCGGCAAACAAAAGTTGGCGACCTCCAAACCTCCCGCCCCCCCCTGCCCCCACAACCGATCCGCTTGGCGATTAGCGCGGTTGGCTACGTATGGTGCGAAAGAAGTTCTACATACGCACTGCCCACAGGCTCAACACTGCCCATAGACTCAACACTACACCAAAGACTCAACACTGCCCATAGACTCAACACTACCCATAGACTCAACACTACCCATAGACTCAACACTACCCATAGACTCAACACTGCACCAAAGACTCAACACTGCCCATAGACTCAACACTGCCCATAGACTCAACACTGCCCATAGACTCAACACTACACCAAAGACTCAACACTGCCCATAGACTCAACACTACCCATAGACTCAACACTACCCATAGACTCAACACTACCCATAGACTCAACACTGCACCAAAGACTCAACACTGCCCATAGACTCAACACTGCCCATAGACTCAACACTGCCCATAGACTCAACACTACACCAAAGACTCAACACTGCCCATAGACTCAACACTGCACCATAGACTCAACACTGCCCATAGACTCAACACTGCCCATAGACTCAACACTGCCCATAGACTCAACACTACCCATAGACTCAACACTGCACCAAAGACTCAGCACTGACCATAGACTCAACACTACCCATAGACTCAACACTACCCATAGACTCAACACTACCCATAGACTCAACACTGCACCAAAGACTCAACACTGCCCATAGACTCAACACTGCCCATGGACTCAACACTGCCCACAGACTCAACACTGCCCATAGACTCAACACTACACCAAAGACTCAATCTTTGCCCATAGACTCAACACTGCCCATAGACTCAACACTGCACCAAAGACTCAACACTGCCCATAGACTCAACACTGCCCATAGACTCAACACTGCCCATAGACTCAACACTACCCATAGACTCAACACTGCACCAAAGACTCAACACTGCACCATAGACTCAACACTGCACCATAGACTCAACACTGCACCATAGACTCAGCACTGTCCATAGACTCAACACTACCCATAGACTCAACACTGCACCAAAGACTCAACACTCCCCACAGACTCAACACTGCACCATAGACTCCACTCCCCATAGACTCAACAATCCCCATAGACTCAACACTCCACCAAAGACTCAACACTGCCCATAGACTCAACACTACCCATAGACTCAACACTCCACCAAAGACTCAACATTGCCCATAGACTCAACACTGCCCATAGACTCAACACTGCCCATAGAATCAACACTGCCCATAGACTCAACACTGCCCATAGACTCGACACTGCCCATAGACTTAACATTGCCCATAGACTCAACATTGCGCATAGACTCAACAATCCCCATAGACTCAACACTCCCCACAGACTCATCACTGCCCCAAAGACTCAACACTGCCCATAGACTCAACACTACCCATAGACTCAACACTACCCATAGACTCAACACTCCACCAAAGACTCAACATTGCCCATAGACTCAACACTGCCCATAGACTCAACACTGCCCATAGACTCAACACTGCCCATAGACTCAACACTGCCCATAGACTCAACACTACCCATAGACTCAACACTGCACCAAAGACTCAGCACTGACCATAGACTCAACACTACCCATAGACTCAACACTACCCATAGACTCAACACTACCCATAGACTCAACACTGCACCAAAGACTCAACACTGCCCATAGACTCAACACTGCCCATGGACTCAACACTGCCCACAGACTCAACACTGCCCATAGACTCAACACTACACCAAAGACTCAATCTTTGCCCATAGACTCAACACTGCCCATAGACTCAACACTGCACCAAAGACTCAACACTGCCCATAGACTCAACACTGCCCATAGACTCAACACTGCCCATAGACTCAACACTACCCATAGACTCAACACTGCACCAAAGACTCAACACTGCACCATAGACTCAACACTGCACCATAGACTCAACACTGCACCATAGACTCAGCACTGTCCATAGACTCAACACTACCCATAGACTCAACACTGCACCAAAGACTCAACACTCCCCACAGACTCAACACTGCACCATAGACTCCACTCCCCATAGACTCAACAATCCCCATAGACTCAACACTCCACCAAAGACTCAACACTGCCCATAGACTCAACACTACCCATAGACTCAACACTCCACCAAAGACTCAACATTGCCCATAGACTCAACACTGCCCATAGACTCAACACTGCCCATAGAATCAACACTGCCCATAGACTCAACACTGCCCATAGACTCGACACTGCCCATAGACTTAACATTGCCCATAGACTCAACATTGCGCATAGACTCAACAATCCCCATAGACTCAACACTCCCCACAGACTCATCACTGCCCCAAAGACTCAACACTGCCCATAGACTCAACACTACCCATAGACTCAACACTACCCATAGACTCAACACTCCACCAAAGACTCAACATTGCCCATAGACTCAACACTGCCCATAGACTCAACACTGCCCATAGAATCAACACTGCCCATAGACTCAACACTCCCCATAGACTCAACACTGCCCATAGACTCGACACTGCCCATAGACTCAACATTGCCCATAGACTCAACATTGCGCATAGACTCAACATTGCCCATAGACTCAACACTCCACCAAAGACTCAACACTGTCCATAGACTCAACACTGCCCATAGAATCAACACTGCCCATAGACTCAACACTGCCCATCGACTCAACACTGCCCATAGACTCAACACTGCCCATAGACTCAACACTGTCCATAGACTCAACACTGCACCAAAGACTCAACACTGCCCATAGACTCAACACTGCCCATAGACTCAACACTGCCCACAGACTCAACACTGCCCATAGACTCAACACTACACCAAAGACTCAATCTTTGACCATAGACTCAACACTGCCCATAGACTCAACACTGCACCAAAGACTCAACACTGCACCAAAGACTCAACACTGCCCATAGACTCAACACTGCACCATAGACTCAACACTGCCCATAGACTCAACACTGCCCATAGACTCAGCACTGTCCATAGACTCAACACTACCCATAGACTCAACACTGCACCAAAGACTCAACACTCCCCACAGACTCAACACTGCACCATAGACTCCACTCCCCATAGACTCAACAATCCCCATAGACTCAACACTCCACCAAAGACTCATCACTGCCCATAGACTCAACACTCCCCACAGACTCAACACTGCACCATAGACTCCACTCCCCATAGACTCAACAATCCACTCCACCAAAGACTCATCACTGCCCATAGACTCAACACTCCCCACAGACTCATCACTGCCCCAAAGACTCAACACTGCCCATAGACTCAACACTACCCATAGACTCAACACTCCACCAAAGACTCAACAATGCCCATAGACTCAACACTGCCCATAGACTCAACACTACCCATAGAATCAACACTGCCCATAGACTCAACACTGCCCATAGACTCAACATTGCGCATAGACTCAACAATCCCCATAGACTCAACACTCCCCACAGACTCATCACTGCCCCAAAGACTCAACACTGCCCATAGACTCAACACTACCCATAGACTCAACACTACCCATAGACTCAACACTCCACCAAAGACTCAACACTGCCCATAGACTCAACACTGCCCATCGACTCAACACTGCCCATAGACTCAACACTGCCCATAGACTCAACACTGCCCATAGACTCAACACTGCACCTCTGATTAGCGCAGTTGGCTATTTACGGTGCGAAAGAAGTCCGATTGCGTAGGAAATCGTGTTTCCTTTTGGTTGCGTTTGGGGTACCCGGGTCGTAAGTAAGCAAAGGTTGCCCGCAGTAGAATACTGTGATGGAAGGCTGTGATGATGCAAGGCAGTGATGAGACGGAAACTGGCGCTATTTTAGACACACATGTAGTAGTAGGATGGGCAACAACAACAGGAAAATTAAAAGTGGGTTGTTGTTGTTGGGGAAAAATGGAAGTAACCGGAAAGAGAGTAAGACCTCTAATAGAGAACGACTTGACAACGATGACATCGAAAGAGTTTGGTGCCAGACAAGATGTGGCCACTATTTGATGCATATTTGCACTACTAGATACAGAGAGAGAAAAGTAGTGGCAAAATGTGCGGTTTGTCCGATTTGCGGATTAACCGCGGCACCTGAGATTTTGACAAATTAATAACTCATGGATTTTCTCTTTAGCCCAATTTATTAGCCTAAAAACAGTTTTACGACATTGTTATTCTTTTGGAAATGTTCATTACGAGTGCTTAAACCGAACAAATGTGTTGCTCCGGTTAATCCGAAATCCACGTAATTGCCTCTTCAGTAAAGTAGTTGCCATATCTTTACAATAGTGGGGCGGAGTTTGATTGTTGATTGGCTGTAGCTCCGCTGTCCGCCTGGTGGGCCGAGTCTCCTGTGCGGCAGGACCAAAGTGTTATCGCTGAGCACGCGCCTCGTCGATCGGTCCATAGTTAGTTTTCGGCACAGAAATCTGTGGAAAATGGTCGTATTTTTTTTTATTATCCGTCCTCCCCGTCATGAGCGCGGATAATCGGGAGTCTGCTCGATATTGTTTTCCTTTTAAGGCCACGCAGTGCTGTTGACAGATGCGTTGGGAGTTGGTTTTGTTACTTGCGCACCACTGCCAAATGCAGCGGCGGCAGCAGCAGTAGCGGCAGCATCATCACCAAATAACTTGTAATGGAATGGTGTCTAATAGTCTACCAACTGCTTGGGCATCCCTATCCAAGCTTAACAACTGTTGTGTCTCTTATAAGATGACAATGAACTATGAAAACTATTTTGAAATGCAAAGCGCGCTTTGTAATTTCCTCCAACGTTCGACTTTCTTTCCCATTCTGTCTCTCACGGTGCTCGCACGCACGCACGCCCTCACGCACTCGCTTGCACTAACCCACTCACTCACGCACTCACTCACGCACTCACGTACGCACTCACGTACGCACTTGCGCACGCACGCTCAGGTGGTGAAGCCGCCGGCTGCGTTGGAGCCGTCCAGGGGTGCCGAGGGGCGGACGGACGGCAAGGCGGAGCGAAGGAAGCGCAGCCCCTCGCCGTGCTCCACCAACGGGGCCTGCGGTGGCGGCGCCGGCGGCAGCAGCAGCCGGCCCGCACTGTCTCCTGGCGAGCGTAAGCGCCGTACGTCGCCCGCGCCGGTGAGTCGTTCGCGTTGCCGGTATTTGCCGATACCAAGAAGGATGATCTATATATATAAAAGGGAAATGTGTGAATGTGTGCCTGTTCAAAATGTTTAGCATACTTCCCGACATGTAACAAACTTGAAATTTGGCATGTGGGTAACTTCCAGACGGTACACGATAAAAAAGTATAAAAATAGACTTTTGTATTTTGTGGGGGTGGGGGGGGGGCGCAATAATGGATATATTTTGCACGGCAAGTGAGCGGTGACATCACACCCACATTTGGCAGCGTCACGCAGTGTGCCTGCTGACGTCACGCATCCCCCCCCCCACCCTCCGCATAGGCCGTGTATTAATCCAAGACAAGAATCCAAGTCTCGGGCAAAGCCGGGTAGTTAAAGCTAGTAAATAAATATAATGAGCGTTGAACTTCGTTCGCACCGTACATACGTAGCCGACCGTGGTAATCGGAAAGTGCAGGGGAAGGACGACAACACTAAACGCGCACGAATATAAAAATATCGACGATCAATTTGGATCGCGCCGTGATACGGCGTACGCACGCACAGCGGCGAGGGTCGGTGAATCAACCACGCAAATGTCACGACTCTCCCCTATTGGAATCAGAATTTTTATTGCAGGCTGGAGGATGAATCCGGTGAGGTATGGAGCTCCTTTCCCCACATACGTCTCGTAGGGGCATGGGGTCAGAAAGTTCGCCTGTATCGGCAATCGCCCTTGCGTAGCGTCACCTCTTCTAACTATGTGCCCTCCCCCTCTTCTGCCTCCCTCTCCTCCACTCCCGCCACTCGCTCTTCTCTCCTCTTTCCGCTCCGCTCCCTTCCCCTCCCCTTCTACCCCGCCGGTGCTGCTGCCGGTGTTGCCGTCGCCGCTCGGCGCCGCTCGGCGCTGCCCGCGTGCGATCAGAGCGGACGGGTGACCCCTCCGCGGCGCGCCCCCTCTCCCGACGGGCTGTCCCCCTACGGCCCCGAGGAGACGCAGCGGCGAGTCAGCATGGTGATGCGCGCCCGCCTCTACCTGCTGCAGCAGATCGGACCCAACTCGTTCCTCATCGGCGGGGACTCTCCCGACAACAAATTCCGCGTCTTCATTGGCCCCCAGGTGCGCCCGGATATACGGACGTTGAGGGCGGTGAGGGGGGGGGGGGGGGGGGGCTGGTGGTTGGGGAGCGGTGGTGCGACGGTTAATGCCTGCTACGCTACGAACCCGGCGAAACGAGTTTGATTTCAGCTCACGGCAAACCGACACCGGTGACGATGAACTGAACCGGTCCTGAGCCTCCCCCCCTGGGTCGACTCGGCCTCAAATGAATACCGGGTGCGGTATGTTTAGTTTTAACATCGCCACTGGGGAGACAAAGGCGGCCGGGCGTGGTGCTGGCCACCCCCCTCGCGTGCCATGACGGCCTTCATAGGTGCTGCTACTCGCTAACAGCACTTGCCCCAACAGTCTGTTAAGGCCACACGGGCGATCTTTGTCTTTGTGGCTGTGTGTATATGCACGTATGTTGAACTTCTTTCGCGCCACCATATGTAGCCAACCGTGCCTAACTCAGGTGTGCGGGGCGGGGGGTGGGGACAGCAAAAACTGAAATCCAGTTCTAAAGAAATGACATTGCACAGCTCCCAGTAGCTCCCAGTATCGGAAGGAGAAAAGCGTTCCCAGAAGTTCAGCTCGGCGGGCCTTAACCTGGTCTTATTATACTCGTTGATAGTTTTAACAGTTTGGTTTACCTGCGCCTCTTCCGCTGCCCGGCCCTCCCTTGCCCGGCCCTCCCTTGCCCTACCCTCCCCTGCGTTGCCCTGCCCGGCCCTCCCTTGCCCTGCCCTCCCCGCGCCCTCCCGTAGACGTGCAGCTGCGGCCGTGGCACCTTCTGCGTGCACGTGCTGTTCGTCATGCTCCGGGTGTTCCAGGTGGAGGCCACCGACCCCATGCTGTGGCGCAAAACACTCAAGAACTTTGAGGTGGGTCTGGCGGGGGGGGCGGGGGGGGCGGAGGGGGGGGGGTGGAACGGGGAAGGGGACGGGGGGAGGATTGGCAAGCGAGGAGAGCCGGGGACGGCGAGTCCGGCCGCTTCACCGCCGCGACGGGTGGTGTTGTGGTGGTGTTCGGGTGGTTGTGTTTGTGTGGTTGTGGTGGTGGTGTTGTTGTTGTGGTGGTGTTGTGGTGTGGTGGCGGTGTTGTTGTGACGATTATCTGAACCGGTCCTGGGCCTCCCCTAGGTCGACTCAGCCTCAAAGGAGTACCTGGTGCAATGTGTAAACATCGTCACTAGGGAGACAAAGGCGGCCGGGCGTGGTGCTGGACACCCACCGCTTCGGGTGCCGTGCCGGCCTTCATAGGCGCCCGCTAACAGCACTTGCCTCTACAGTCTATTAAAGCTATACGGGGGGTCTTTTTCTTTTGTATATGTGTCTATGCTAGGGGGCACAGGTGGTGCATCGGGCCAGTCATCTCAGTCCGTCAACCCGTGGCACCACCTGGCTCTGTCCCGTGACCTCCTGCTTTGGTGACGTCACCATCACTTCGTGGCGGCTGTTGTTGTATACGTGTATTGCTTGTGTGCGCGTATGAACGAGCGCGTGTGTGTGTGTGTGTGTCCACCCCCACCCCACCCCCCGTGTCACCGCGCAGGTTGAGAGCCTCTTCCAGAAGTACCACACGCGGCGCAGCTCGCGCATCAAGGCGCCGTCCCGCAGCGCCATCCAGAGGATGGTGGGGCGCATGAGCACCTCGCAGGCCGCCTCCTCGTCCGCCGCGGCCAACGCGCAGGTGCTGGCCGGCGCCGACGCCAGGTAAACGTCCGCCCGCTCGCCCGCCCGCCCGCCCGGCCGACCGGTAGCGCCCGCCTCGACTCGCTCGCCCCCATTCGTTCGGTCTCCCTATCGTTCTATTTGACCGCTCGACTGCCCAGGCCCCCTGTCGCAGGTCACTTGGTCGTGCGTACGCTCGCCCGCTCGCTCATCCGTTCGCTCGGCCGCCCGATCGTACGCTCGCTCAGTGGCCCGATGACTCGGTTCTCAAGCTCGCTCACTCACTCGACCGTTTACACACTAGCTGGACCGCTCATCGCTCACCTACTCACTCGCCGACCCGCTCGCCCGATCGCTCTGTTTGCCCGCTCGACTGCTCGTGCCCCCTGTCGCACGCTCGGGCGCCAGGTCACTCGCCCGCACGTACTCTCGATCGCTCAGTCGCATACGCGCCCAATCGGCCACAAGATCGACCGCTCATCGCGCACCCACCCAATCGACCCACCAAAGCACTTGCCCACTCGCTCATCTGATCACTCAGCCGCCCGATCGCATGCACCCTCGCACGCTCGCTCGGTGGCCCCCGATCGCTCGGTCGCATGCTCTCCCACCAACCCACTCCCTCGACCGCGTACCCGCTAGCTCGACCGCTCCATCGCCCACCAGCCCGCCCCACCCACTCGCCAACCCGCTCAACCGACCCCCTCGTCTCACCGTCTCGCCCCAACCTGCACGCTTGCTTTCGACGCGAGTGTATTTTTGTTCTGGAGGGTGGCCCGATGGCGAAGGTTGACCGTGTGGCCCCTGGCAGCAAGGACGAGGCGGAGGAGCAGACGTGCCCCATCTGCCTGCTCGAGATGCTGGACGAGGAGAGCCTCACCGTGTGCGAGGACGGCTGCCGAAACAAACTACACCACCACTGCATGTCCATCTGTGAGTGCTTGGTGGGTGGGGGTGGAAGTGGGGAGGTGGGGGGCAAGGGTGGGGGGTGGAGACGGCAGGGGTCAGAGTTGAGTAGCGGAGGCACAGTGGCTAAGAGATGTTAACTACTTACTACAAGAGATCGTGGGTTCGATCCCGACCCTGACGCCTGCTGTATATTTGGAGTTTCCGTCTCTCTCTCTTTCCCCGTGGTCCCGTGGATTTTTCCCCCCGGGTTCTCCGGTTTTTCCCTCCACATTTTGAATCGACGTCACGCGTTTAGAGTATTTTGGCTGACAAAAATGTCCACGTGACGATGATAAGCCCCACTTCGTTGAGCTCTCATTTGTGATAGCCAGGTCGCTTCTGAAAAAGAGCTATATGATCCTTATGGCGGTACCCAGGGGTACCAAATGATACAAAACGGCCGAGGCAATAAAATATTTTATTTCTGGGACACTATTTTTTCCAGGGGTGTACTTAACTCCGCGGGTAATATTATTACCCGGCAATCACGAGGGAGATCAGCTCAGAGATCGACGACCCGATTCAGCAAGCAGTCCCTACCCGCTCGAACAAATGCCAGCTTTTTCGATTGACGCGACGGTGGATCCGGACACCGAAGGCGAAACCTGGGCGTCCCAAGAAGAAAACGGGCGTCGCTCCGGGGCAGAAATCGATCCTGTCCTTCTTTGCCAAACATTAGCATAAAAAAATCCATTATCGCGAAATTAAACTTTGAATGGTGCGTCGTGTACAGCTCGTCGAGATGAGTCGATTGCCGCATCGCCGACCATCAACAGACTAAAAACGACTGCATCACGGACATTGTGCGAGAGCCGGGGTCCTATGGTACCCCTTTTACCGCCATTAGGTTCATATGTAGCAGCTCAATGGGGCCTTACCTGGTCAAATAATAAATAGTTTAGTTAATTCGATTTTAGTCAACGAAGCAGATCAGAATCTTTATTTAGACTGCAGGAGGAATCCGATGTGCTATGAAGCTCTTTTTACAGACCTCCAGTAGGGAATAATGAGAATTAACATGACGGTGATGACGGCTGCGGTGACGGTGGTGATAATCATAATAATAATGGCATCACAAGGACCGATACAACATTAACTGCAAGCGGTAGATCATGGATTCTGATCTGTTCGCACGGATTTCGAGCGGTCTCCACGAGTCCGGCGACCTAAGGGGAAGAGATAAGACCTAAGAGCAGACGGTGGGATAATATTTTCTCGCAAACAGTACTTGCCCCCAAGAATCTTTGTCTTTGTCTCCTTCATAGCTGCTGCTACTCGCTCGGAGCACTTGTCCCAACTGTCTGTTAGAGGCTACACGAGGGATCTTTGTCTCCTTCATAGGTGCTGCTACTCGCTAAGAGCATTTGCCCCAACAGTCCGTTAAAGGCTACGCGGGGGATCTTTGTCTTGCGTTGCGTGTGCGTGCGTGCAGGGGCAGAGGAGTGCCGCAGGAGCCGCGAGACGCTCATCTGCCCTCTCTGCCGCTCCAAGTGGCGCTCCCACGAGTTTCACAGGTAACCGCATTAACCTGGCAAACAACTTTAATATCAGGATGGCAAGATATTGACTACCTCGCCTGGTATACAGGAGGTCGTGGGTTCGATCCCGACACGGACACCTGCTGTATATTTGGAGTTTGCGTGTCTCTCTCTCGCTCCCCATGGTCGCGTTAATTTTTGCACGCTCGCCCACTCGCTCGCCTGACCACACGGTCGCCCGGTCGCCACAATGGCTCTGTCGCCACGATCACTCTGTTGCATACTCACCCACTCCCTCGACCATTTACCCACTAGCCCGACGGCTCCGTCGCTCGCCCACCCACCCACACACCCACTCCTATATCGCCGGCGCCCTTTATATCTGCACCTTCGCTCCCCCCCCCCTCTACCCCCCCCCCCCCCCCTCCTTGTCCGTCGTGCAGTTATGAAGGCGCGAGCTCGGTCGACACCCAGCCGCAGGCCCAGGTGCAGGCGCCGCCACCGCAGTCCCCGCACGGCGCCACCGCTGCCGCCAACAACCGGCAGATGGACAACGAGGCGGCGCTGCTCCACTACGGCGCCCAGCCCATCCCCGTGGCGTACCGCGGCATCGCCGAGCCCTGGAGCCAGGTACGGCGCCGGAGCCAAACCCGCCACCGCCTCCTCCCCCGGTGGCCTCGTTCGGGATTAGGGCGCCGGCTTGGTGCCGTCGTGCGTGCGTGCGTCACGTGACGTGGCACCTGTGAGCGCGCGCGTGTGTGCGCGCGACATGGCACCGTTGAACGCGCGCGCGAGCGTTGAGGAACGTGGGACCATCGCGCTCGTGCGCGCGTGCGCCGAGTGACGCGACAGCGTCGTGCGTGCTGGGCGCAGGTGTTTGGCGTGGAGCTGGTGAGCTGCCTCTTCTCGCGCCACTGGAACATCCGCGAGATGGCCATGCGCCGCCTCTCCCACGACGTCACCGGCTCGCTGCTCCTCGCCAACGGGGAACTGCGCGGCGCAGCCGCCACCGCCGCCGACGGCGGCGGCGGCGGTGGCGGCGGTGGCGCCACCGGCGGCGCCGCCGCTTCGGGTGCCGGCGGGGGAGGAGCGGGAGGAGGGGGAGCGGAGGGCGGCCCCCCCCGGGACGGGCCGTCGGACCGCTCGGCGGGGGCCGTGATGGAGTGCTGCTGCAGCGTGCTGTCCATGGTGTGCGCCGACCCCGTCTACAGGGTCTATGTGGCCGCGCTGGTGAGGACAGCAGTGGGCGGTTGGGGGTGACGGAGAGCGGTGGCGCAGCGATTAACGCGCCGCGCTACGAACCTGGCGGCCTGATTTTGGGGGGGGGGGGGGGGGTGGGGGGGGAGGAGTGGTGGTTGGAAGAGGTGGGCAGAAGAGGTGGGCAGGAAGAGGTGATGACATTTCGCTTTGGGTTTTAAAACGCGAATCCGGAGCACAGCGTTTTGACGTCAAGGCCAACGCCTAAAAAAATCGTTTTATTTTACGAGGCGGTAAGGCTCCCACCGAGCTGTATAGAAGCGACCTGGCCATCACAAAGTATAGCTCAACCAAGTGGCTTATCATCATGCCGCTGGAGCTAAGCACTTGTAACTCATCTAGATTGACAATCCTATTCCTTCAAAGGCGGCGGGGCGGGCGTGGGTGCCGGCCACCCACCCCCTCGTGTGCCACAGTGGCAGCCTTCATTGGTGGTGCTGCTGTTGCTACTCCCCAACAGCACTTGCCCCTACAGCCCGTTACAGGCTACGGGGGCGGGGGATCTTTGTCTTTGGTGGTGTTGGTGGCCGTGGCGGTGTTGGTGCTCGGGGTCAATTCGGCGGCGTGCGGCTATCGAGTGAGGGTTCAAACCCCCGCGCACACGCGCTTATCTCAAACCATGGCCACACAGCAACAGCCCGTTAAGGGTGGTGACTGGGTGGAGAGGGGGAGCGGGGGTGGGGTGGGATCTTTGTCGTTGTATAAACACAGTGCGGTTCCCACCCCCCCCTGCGCGGCTTGTTTACTTTATGTACTCCCACAGGAAGTATCGGCAGTTTTGTTTCTGCGTGGCCTGAGCCCACGCACGGCACGGCCCGGCGAGCGAGCCAGCGCGCCGCTTTTGTTCCAAAATCCTTGGGAAACTGTAATGCGCTGTACAAACCCCTCCACCGCCCTTTGTGTCGCCCCGCCAACTGCGCTCTCTCTCTCGCTCGTTCTCGCTCTCTCGTGCTCCCTTCCTTGCGCTCGCTGTGCTTGTCCTCTTTTTCTCCCTTGCTCTCCCTCGCTCTCACCCTTGCTCTCGCTCGCTCTCCCTCGCTCTCCCTTTCCCCATATCTTTATTGCTTTCCCTCACTCTCTTGGCTACACTCTTTCTTGCTCTCTCCCTCTTCCTCTCTTTTTCGTTTTTGCTCTCTCGCTCTCTTTCCTGCCCTCTCTCTCCTCTCCTCCCCTTGTCCCTCTCTCGCTTTTTTGTACTCTCTCTGCTCTTTCTCTCCGGCTGGCTCTTCTCCCTTTCTCACTGCACACCGCAGCTTGCCAAGCACTCCTCTAGCCTGGCTGGTAGCACTCTCCCCCCCCCCCTCTCGACTCCGGCTGTCACGGCAGTCCACCACGATGGCGGGACGTAACATTCCTCCGAAAGCTTTCAAGACAGGAGCGATTGTTTCAGAGGGGGTCATCGTGGGGGCGTAGTGTGGTCGACCAAAGGAATTATTTATTCACCTTGATAAATTGCCATGGTGTTTGTTAAAACTAAACTAAACAATTTTTATTTTACCATGGCAAAGCCCATCGAGCTATAGAACTATTTTTCAGAAGCAACCTGGCCACAGATGATAGCTTAACGAAGTGGGCTTATTATCATCGCGTGGAAATTTACAGCGGCAGCCAAATACTCTAACCTCATGACGTTGATTCGAAATGTCGAGGGAAAAAAAAACCGGGAGGACTCGGAGAAAAATAGAGGCGACCACGGGGAGAGAGAGAGACACACACAAAACTCCAAATATACAGCAGGACGTCCAGGGTTTGGGATCGAACCAACGACCTCCTGCATACCAGGCGAGGAAGGTTAACATCTCCTAGCCACCATGATGATGATTAGAGAGAGAGAGACACGCAAACTCCAAATATAGAGCAGGCATCGTCAGGGTCGTGATCGAACTCACGACCTCCTGCAGACCAGGCGATGGAGTTCACATCTCCCAGCCACCATGATGATGATTAGAGAGAGAGAGACACGCAAACTCCAAATATAGAGCAGGCATCGTCAGGGTCGTGATCGAACTCACGACCTCCTGCAGACCAGGCGATGGAGTTCACATCTCCCAGCCACCGTGATAATGATGAGAGAGAGACACGCAAACTCCAAATATGCGTCGGCAGGGTCGGGATCGAACCCACGACCTCCTGTATACCAGGCGATGGAGTTCACATCTCCTAGCCACCGTGGCGCTCCACATAGCTAAGTTAATCCAGGACTTCTGGGCCACTTCCACCACAACAATAGCAGCAACACAATGCAGCGGAGGGCTGATTGAGGTAGGGGGGTAATAAGGAACAAACAAAATCTGAGAAAAAAAAAAGTGCGTTATAATTTGAACCGGATAACAAAAAAAACGAAATTTGCGCACACAAAACACAATGCACAACAATGCTGCCCCCCCCCCCCCCCCATTGTGTTTCACGGTCAGTGTTTTATTCAGGCCGCCTGTGTAGCCTCGAGATCGTTGTATGTGTGTATGTTTGTACTTCTTTCGCATTGTACGTAGCCAACTGCGCTAATCGAGGTGCAATGTTGAGTCTATGGGCAGTGTTGAGTCCATAGGCAGTGCTGAGTCCATGGGCAGTGCTGAGTCCATGGGTAGGCAGTGTCGATTCTATAGGCAGTGTTGGGGTCCATGGGCAGTGTTGAGCCTATGGTGCAGTGCTGAGTCTATGGTGCAGCGTTGAGTCTCGGGGCAGTGTTGGGTCCTATGGGCAGTGCTGAGTCCATGGGCAGTGTGGAGTCTATGGGCAGTGTTGAGTCTATAGGCATTGTCGAGTCTATGGGCAGTGTTGAGTCCTATTGACAGTGTTGAGTCCATGGGCAGTGTTGAGTCCATGGGCAGTGTTGAGTCGATAGGCAGTATGTACACATCTGTACGTTGACCTTGATTCGCACCGTACGTAGCCAATCAGGGCTAAAATCGGAGGTGTGGTAATACACAACCGGTGTGTGTGCGGGGAGAAGGACAACAAACAAAACTCAAAAGCAGTTCTAAAGAAGTGAGTGTGTCAATCTAGATGATGATTTAAAAGTGCGTAGCTCTCAGTGGCTTTCAATATCGGAAGGAAGAAACGTTCCAGACGTCCGTGGTGCGGTTGAACATCTTTGTTCAATGGCCAGCTTAAAGCCGCTGCTGCTGCTGTGAGGATGACCGGAGTTTGCATGATAGTTTATGCTCTGACGAGATCAGGGAGGGAGTGTGGTTCAGATGGGCGACGTTTTGGGTGATGGCCCTTTTTCAGGCCCTTTTTCAGGCCAGCCGTTTGAACTAAAAGTATAAACTATTTTTATTTGACCAGGTAAGGCCCACTGAGCTATACAGCAGCTCTTTTGCAGAAGCGACCTGGCTATCACAGATGATGATAGCTCAACGAAGCGGCACATCACTTGGACATTTATCGCAGCAGCCAAATACTCGAAACGCGCCACGTCGATTCTAAACGTGGAGGGGGAAAAACCGGAGGGCCCGGAGAAAAATCCACGCGACCACCACGGGGAGAGAGGGAGAGACATGCAAACTCCAAATACGCAGCGTATATTTAAACAAATAAATAGCAGCCGGTCGTGGCGTTGGGCCTTCATTCGGCGCTTTCCCCACACCCGTGTCCCCCTCTCTGCGCGCGTGCACAGAAAACGCTGCGCGCCATGCTGGTGTACTCCTTCTGCCAGAGCCTGGCGGAGCGAGCGCGTCTCCAGAGGCTGCTGAGGCCCGTGGTGGAGGCCCTACTGGTCAAGTGCGCCGACTCGCACAGGTGGGAGTCGGGAGAGGGGGACAATCGCAGCGCGACTACCGCTCGGGTAGAGACAAAGGTGGCCCAGGGCACGGCGCCGGCCAACCCACCAGCGCCCCTCTCGTGCGCTACCTGTGGCGGCCGCAGGCGCTGCTGCTCGCTGACGGCGCTTGCCTCGAACGTATCCGTCAAGGCCTTGTCTTGTGTGGCGTGCGTGCGTGCGTGCGTGCGTGTGTGTGTGTGTGCGTGGTGCAGTCGGACGAGCCAGCTGTCCATCTCAAGCCTCCTGGAGCTCTGCAAGGGACAGGCCGGGGAGCTGGCAGTGGGCAGGGAGCTGCTCAACTCCGGTAGGGATGGGACTCTCGTCGTGGTGTTGCGTGTCAGGTCACGCCGTGTCTCGTCACGTGACAGGTCAAGTCGAGTGACAAGTCTTGTCTCGTCGTGCCCCCCCCCCCAACCCCCCTTCACCCCCCCCCCCCCAGTGTCGCTGGGCCTCGGAGGCCTGGACTTTGTGCTCGGCTGCATCCTGGGCGCCCAGACCTACTACGCCAACTGGCAGGCACTGCTCGGACGCCTTTGCTTCATCGACCGCCTGCTGCTCGAGTTCCCCACCGAGTTCTACCCCCACGTGCTCGCAGAGGGCGAGGGGGGCGCAGAGGGCATCGCCCTGGACAGGTCAGGAGGGGGGGGGGACGGGTGTGGGTGGGTGGGTGGGTGGGTGGGTGCTGTGTCATCTCAAGTCAGTCAACCCCATGGCACCTGCTGGGTCTGTCCCGTGACCCACTGCGAGGAGGCGAGGATTCGATATTTAACGCGACAGCCTCAAAGTGCGCCTGGCCTGTCACGGGGGGGGGAGGGGGGGGGGCCCGTGGTGATATCACCATCGCTTAGTGGCAAATGACGGGTTGCTGGTGTTGGCGTGCACGGTATTGGTCAGCGTGCCGCGCTACGAACTCCCGCGACCCGAGTTCGATTCCCGCTCACGGCCAACAACAACCGTTGACGATTATCTGAACCGGTCCTGGGCCTCCCCTAGGTCGACTCGGCCTCAAACGAGTAACCTGGTGCGGTGGGTAGTAAACATCGACGCTGGTGAGATAAAGGCGGCCGGGCGTGGTGCTGGCCACCCACCCCTTCCGTGTGCCGTGCCAGCCTTCATTGGTGCTCGCTTAACAGCACTTGCCCCAACAGTCTGTAAAAGGCTATAAGGGGGATAATTGTTTGTTTTGGGGGTGGAGTGGGGTGGGGTGGGTGGGAGGCAGGGGGGAGATGGGGGGGGGGGGGTGTAGTGCATCGCCTTGGACAAGTCAGAGGGGGGGGAGGTGGGAGGGGGGGTGATGTGGGTGGGGGGCAGGGGGTAGATTTTGGGAGGGGGTGGGGGTGCTGAGGGCATTGCCCTGTACAGGTCAGAGTGCGAGGGAAGGAGCGGTGGGAAGGGGGGGGGAGCGCTGTCCGTTTCCTGAGTTAACGAAGGCACCACCCCCCCCCCCCCCCACTCCGCAGGTATGACAAGCTGCTGTCCCTGCTGAACTTCACGCTGAAGTCGCTGGACAGCTCCCACTCGGTGGTGGGCAAGGTGTCGGGCCGCGTCGTGCTGGGCGCCGCCCGCATGGTGGCGCAGGTGCCCCACGTCTACCAGCGGCTCGTCGAGATGCTCGGCGAGACGGGCAGCCACCCACACCAGCACCAGCACCAGCAGCAGCAGCAGCAGCAACAGGGCCAGCAGCAGCAGCAGCAGCACGTTCACTACCACCCGCAGCTCCAGCTGCAGATGCAGCAGCCGTTCTTCCAGCTGCACAACGCGCCGCCGCACCACCACGACGCGAGCACGGCGCGCCTGCAGCGCCGGCTGCTGAGCCTGGCCGAGGAGATGGGCGTCCTCGACTGCATACAGGTGCGTGCGTGTGTGTGGTGCGTGCGTGCGTGCGTGCCTGTACAGGTAAGATTTCCATTCGTGAGCTCCTCCGGCAGGCAAGGCCGCGTTGGCTGGGTCATGTAGCACCGCATGCCCAGCCCACCGCATGCCCCAAGCAGCTTCTCTTTGGCCGCATAGAGGGGGCTAAACGGGCACGGCATGGGCTGGAGAGCAGATGGAGCTGGTGCGGTACGGGAGGACGCGGAGCCGAGTGGACTTGCCGAAGACTGGTACTAGAGGTGTCAAGATCGGCGTCCGCGGAGGAGGCCGACCTTGGCAGCCAAACCATGGCACCTGCCGGGTCTGTCCCGAGACCTCCTGTCAGCGAACCTTCGACACTTCACGTGTCACTTCATGGCGAATGGCGGGTGTTGGTGCAGGATTTGCCCCGGCAGGTCTGTTTATGCTGCTCCACAGGGGGTGGGTGGGGCAGGGGGAAGATTTCCGATTTCTCCAGGATAAATTAAATATTCGGATTTTTATTTGCGATGTCGTTGGCCGAACAGGACGCGTCGCGAGCGCCACCAGATTAATGACCCTCCTCCTCCACCGCCCACCCCCTCTTACCGCCCCCCCCGCAGGGTCGTGACGACGCGGGCGACGGGCGATTCGAAGGCTTCGTCGAGCCGTCGGCCCCCCACAACTCCCCCGCGGGCACCGCCCGCTCCACCCCCATCGCCTCCCTCCGCAGCGGCGGGGGGACGGCGGCGGCGGTGGGGGGCCTCCCCCCACCGCCGCCGCCTCCTCCTCCCGCGCCTTTCGCGCCGGAGGCGGGCCTCCGGGCTGCTCTTTTACGACACGGCCGTGGCCGCGGCGTCGGGCGCCGTCACCAGGAATGCCGCGGTTGCTTCGGCTTCATCGGCGGCGGCGGCGGCGGCGTCCGCCCCCCGGGCCTCCCCCAAAGACGGCAAAAGCGGCGAGCGCCGCGCGGGACGGGAAGCCCGGCGCGCCGGGCGCGGCGCAGGCGCCGGTCGCCATCGGCCGCGGCCGGCGCCGACGCACCGGCCTTGGCGAGCGCCGCGGGGCAGCCGTCGTCCGTCGCGGGGGGTGGCGTCCCCAAGACTCATCAGCCGCTCGTAGCGGCGGGAGCAGCAGGTGGCGCTAGCGCTCCGTGCGGTTACTCCGGCCAGCACGGCACAAGGACTCAACCGCAGCAGCTGCAGCAGCAGCAGCAGCACGTGGATAGGAGCCACGGCCCCGCTCGCAAAGACGGACAGGTCTGCCTGCGCCGTGCTACCACCGGCGCCCGGCGACGCTCACTGCGGCCCTGCGTCGGCGAGAAACAAGCCGGCGGCAGTGGCGACGCCGTCAGTCAAGCACGACGGCGGCGGCGCAACGGCAGCAAGCGGCGGCGTCGTACCCGAGCCTGGTGCAGTTTGCCGAAACCGGCGGCGGCGGCGGCGGCGGCGGCGGCGGAGGAGCCGACGAGAAAGGCGCTGGCGCAGCCAGGCCGGCCGCCGACTGGCACGGTGGCTCGCAGGCGGTGGGTGAGACGAGGGGGCGGGCGCCGGGCGCTGGCAAGCAGACGGCGGCGGCGGCGGCATCGTCGGGGTGGAAGGACGTCGGCAGGCCGGGAGCGGCGCCGGGCGCCAGGCCCCAGCCGCCGCCCCTCGCCGTGAAGCCGCACGTGGAGCGCGGCTCCCCCGAGCGGCAGAAGAGGCCGAGTGCGTCGCAGCACCGGCAACAGCAGCCGCAGAGCCAGGGGGGCGCCAGCGGCACCGCTCACCGGGTGGCGTCGGTGGCGCCGCCCGCCGCCAAAGAGGAACGACCGGGCGAGCCGGAGGGCCACGGCAGGGACTCGCGATCGGCGCCGGTGCTGGAGACCGCGTCCCGGCAGGCATCCGGGCGCAAGTGCAAAGACCGCGGCGGCAAACACAGGGACCCGAAGCAGCCTGCGGGCAAGGAGCCCCGTGGCGCCGGCGTCACCGGCGCCGGTGGCGGCGTCGGTTCGTGGCTGCAGAATGGTGTCAGCGGGACGTCGCCGGGGCAGGGACGGGTGCAGCGGAGCGACGACGACGACGGTGGGGAGCAGGAGGAGGAGGACTCTCTGCCGGAGACGGTGTGCTTGGGCGCCGGCGACGGTCGTCACGGCGTGACGTTCCACTCCGAGGTCGCCATGACGATGAGCCCGGACGGGGGGGGCGGAGCCGGGAGACTCGTACCGCGAGGAGGTGAGGCCGGTTAAACGGTTCGTCATTGCGGAATATTTACCGTGGGGACCACAAATAAATAATATAAAACACGCGAACTCCACTTACTCAGACTGTGGAACAGGGGGAGATCACACAAACTCCACTCACTCACTCACTCTGTAGAACAGGGGGGAGATCACACAAACTCCACTCACTCTGTAGAACAGGGGGAGATCACACAAACTCCACTCACTCACTCTGCAGAACAGGGGGAGATCACACAAACTCCACTCACTCACTCTGCAGAACGGGGGGGAGATCACACAAACTCCACTCACTCTCACCCGGCAGAACGGGGGGGAGATCACACAAACTCCACTCACTCTCACCCAGCAGAACAGGGGGAGATCACACAAACAAACTCCACTCACTCTCACCCGGCAGAACGGGGGGAGATGGTACTCTCTCCCGCATGGCCTTGTGGGAGCGTCGATACCGATAAAGTTAATTTATTTTAGTTTTTTTTCCAGTTTAGTTTTGACGATGTACACGTTTTGATTATTTACATGCACGATTGAAAACTCATTTGTAAAGAAACGAGCTTTCGACCTGGATGATTTAACCGTGCATAGCTCCCAGTGGCTTCCTGACATCGGAAGGAAGAGCGTTCCAGACGGCCGCAGAAGCGCATCTTGAAAGCGCGCGAGGCGGCGACCCGTTTTTGTTTGATGGCTGACGATTACGACGATGATGGCAACGACGATGGCGACGACGATGATGGCGACGACGATGATGGCGACGATGACGATGGCGACGACGATGATGGCGACGACGATGATGGCGACGATGCGGCGCAGGTGGAACGGGACCAGCTGTGCAAGGAGAAGGTGGAGCAGGAGGAGGAGGAGGCGCTGGCGATCGTCATGGCCATGTCGGCGTCGCAGGACGCGCTGCCAGTCATCCCGCAGCTGCGGCCCGTGGGCACCCTCGACATCATCCTCGTGCAGACCGAGGTGTGGGCAACTCCCTCCTCCACCTCACCCCCCCACCCCCCCCAACGCGATGGATACCAGCCACTTCGTCAAGCTATCGTTTGTCATTGGGCCAGATCGCTTATGGGAGGGGAAAAAATAGAGCTACATTATAGCAGCTCAATGGGGCCTTACCTGGCCGAAACCAAAAACCCCTAAATTCATTTTAAACACCCGCTTACCGAAATGCCTCGCCGATGCTGTGCCGTTCCCATGGCCACCGGCGCTCGTTGGGCTCGTGAACAGCGCCGGCTAAGGGCGCGCTTGCAAACGTTTTTTGAGTCGCGTCGCGTTTGCGCGCTTGGCTACGTACGGTGCGCGACAAAAGTTCAACATTCACAACGACAAAGATCCCCCGTGTAGCCTCTAGCAGACTGTCGGGGCAAGTGCCGTTAGCGAGTAGCAGCAGCGCCTACGAAGGAGACAAAGACAAAGATCCCCCGTGTAGCCTCTAGCAGACTGTCGGGGCAAGTGCTGTTAGCGAGTAGCAGCAGCAGCACTTACGAAGGAGACAAAGACAAAGATCCCCCGTGTAGCCTCTAGCAGACTGTCGGGGCAAGTGCTGTTAGCGAGTAGCAGCAGCAGCATCTATGAAGGAGACAAAGACAAAGATCCTCCGTGTAGCCTCTAGCAGACTGTCGGGGCAAGTGCTGTTAGCGAGTAGCAGCAGCGCCTATGAAGGAGACAAAGACAAACATCCCCCGTGTAGCCTCTAGCAGACTGTCGGGGCAAGTGCTGTTAGCGAGTAGCGACAGCACCTACGAAGGAGACAAAGACAAAGATCCCCCGTGTAGCCTCTAGCAGACTGTCGGGGCAAGTGCTGTTAGCGAGTAGCGACAGCACCTATGAAGGAGACAAAGACAAAGATCCCCCGTGTAGCCTCTAACAGACTGTCAGGGCAAGTGCTGTTAGCAAACATCTGAGGGCCGGCACTGTGGCACACGAGGGGGTGGGTGGCCAGCACCACGCCCGGCCGCTTTTGTCTCCCTGGTCGCGATGTTTACTACACACCGTACCAGGTACTCATTTGAGGCCGACTCGACCTAGGGGAGGCTCAGGATAAGTTCAGATAATCGTCACTGGTGTTGGCCGTGAGCGGGAATGGAACTCGGGTCGCTGGGTTCGTGGCGTAGGGCGCTTAACCACTCCACCACCGCTCCCCACATTACACACGTACACACGTACACACACACACGTACACACAGCAGGGGATGGAGAAGATCCCAGGCCATGGCAAGGCCCGGCAGCCGTACCGGGAGGGCGCCGAGTGGTTCAAGGGCCAGCAGATCGGCATGGGGGCCTTCTCCTCCTGCTTCCAGGCACAGGACGTTGACACCGGCACGCTCATGGCGGTCAAACAGGTACACAGGGCGACGATGATAATGGTGGTGACGATGGAGATGACGACGATGATAATGGTGGTGACGATGAGGATAACGATGATGAGCGCTGTGGACGCACGTGGTGTAGCGCAGGTGGAGCGGCACCAGCCGTTCAAGGAGTGCTGTGAGAGACTCGCGCACACGCAGATAAAATTTCCGCTCCCCGTATACCCTTAACGGACTGTTAAGTAAAGCGCCATGAGAGACGCATGCATACACACACACACACGCGCCCCGGATGGCCTTAACAGTGGCAGGTGACGTAACTGCGCAGTACTGCCTTCATTAGGTGCCGTTATCTTCATATTTTATCACTCCGATTAGTACAGTCGGCCTGCGTACGGCGCAAAAGAAGTTCAACGCACCTCACGTACGTGCGTGCGTGCGCGCGCGCGTGCCAGGTGACGTACGTGCGCAACACGGCGTCGGAGCAGGAGGAGGTGGTGCAAACGCTGCGTGAGGAGATCCGCCTCATGAGCCGGCTGGACCACCCCCACATTGTGCGCATGCTGGGTGCCACGTGCGAGAAGAGCAACTACAACCTGTTCATCGAGTGGATGGCCGGTGGGTAGCACTTGAAAGAAAATATATATATATAGATCAACCAATGCTACCCCAGATTAAAAGGCACAGCTCTACTGAGCTGCCGCTATCGCGACTTCCGAACGTTCAGAGATCCTGGTCCGTGTGTGCAGTTGCCTGTTCGGAACCGAGAGATGTAAGCTGAACCGCCGGTGCAATAGGTGTGGCGGTGGTGGTTGTTCGGTGTCATTACCCAGCATTCCTGCCTTGGGGCCACCGCCATCGTCTATTGTTGATGTGTTGTGTTGTGGCTCTTCACCAACATCATCAACCACCGTCGTGTCTCAGAAGCGTGACAGTGGTGAAAGTGTTGAGGGTGGTAGTAAGAAGAGCCAGTGGCATCTACGTCTACAGAAGATTATGCAACTTTTAAAGAGAGACGCGCAAGCTTCAAATATACAGCAGGCATTGTCAGGGTCGGGATCGATACTCGCAACCCCCTGCGTACCAGGCGAGGTTGTCAACATCTCCGAACCACCCCTTGGACTCGCACACCGCGTCACGCGGTGCTTTCAGATGCGCTTCTGCGGCCGTCTGGAACGCTCTTCCTTCCGACATTAGGAAGCCACCGAGAGCTATGCCACTTTTAAATCATCATCTAGATTGACAACCTCATTTCTTTAGAGGTGCTTTTTGTGTTTAGTTTGTTGGCCTCCCCCCCCTCGCACCCCTCGATCAGCACCGTTGGCTACGTACGGTGCGAAAGAAGTTCAACATGCGTACACACATGCGTACACACATGCAACACGCATGGCTCCGTACTGCGTCACCGTTCCGGTAAGCTATGCGAAGCGCCTCCGGTGAAGGGCGCGCTCTCTACATAGAAACATAAAATCGGATGAGATTAACGCGATCTAAAACTGATCGTGAATGAGAAACGACGAGTGGCGGTTGCCCCGTATGACCCCTGTGACCCCCCCCCACCCCACCCCCGCACGTCCGTTGGGGCATCGCAGGTGGATCGGTGGCTCACCTGCTCAACAAGTACGGCCCCTTCAAGGAGCCCGTGCTGCTCAACTACGTGGAGCAGCTGCTGCGGGGCCTCTCCTACATCCACGAGAACCTCATCATCCACCGAGACATCAAAGGTGCCCCTCCCCACCCCCCCCATCACTCATCCCCCCCATTCGCATCACCTGGCTGCCCCCCTCATCCCCCCCAACACCCCTCCCCCAAACCACCCCCTCCTCCATTTCCATCTCCCCCATCGCTCATCCCCACCACCCATCCCCCGGCTCCCCCCTCATTGCCACCACCATCGCTTCCCCCCCCCTCATCCCCCCCACCCTCATCCCCATCTCCCCCCACCCATCCATCCACCCCACCCTGCCCCACAGCTGAAATTAGGCCGCTTGGTAAGACAACAATAATTTGGTTTAATTTGTTATTTTTTTAAGTGATTTGTTTTCATTTCCTACACTTTGCACTCCCCTAAAGTGTTTTTTTTTTGTAATTGTTTGTTGTTATAATGTTCTGACCCCCGTGCCCCCCCCAACTGGACAAGGAAAATAGCTTCACAGCACATCGGATTCCTCCTGCAGAATAAAATAATTATAAAAAATTTGGACCCACACTTGCCGTGCTGACCCCTTGACCTGCTGCCGCCCCCCCCCCCTTTGACCTACGACCTCTCCTCAACCCCCCCCCCCCCCACGTAGGAGCCAACCTGCTGATCGACAGCACGGGCCAGCGGCTGAGGATTGCAGACTTTGGGGCTGCAGCCCGCCTTGCGTCCAAGGGGACGGGTGCCGGGGAGTTTCAGGGACAGCTGCTGGGCACCATCGCCTTCATGGCGCCAGAGGTAGCGGCCACACACTCAACTCAACTACGATTAAACTGAAGCTGTTGAACTAAAACTAAACTGTTTACTTTACCAGGGCCCCACTGAGAACTGCTACATAGTGGCTCTTTTTTCAGAAGCGACCTGGCTATCACAAATGATAGCTCCAACGAAGTGGAAATTTATAGCAGCAGCCAAATCCTCCCACAACGCGTGATGTCGATTCCTAAATGTGGAGGGGGAAAACCGGAGGACACGGATAAAAATCCACGCGACCACCAGGGGCAGAGAGAGAGACACACGCAAACACCAAACATACAGCAGGCATCGTCCGAGTCTGGATCGAACCCACGACCTCCTGTATACCAGGCGAGGTAGTTAACGTCTCCGAGCCACCGTGAGTGATGATGATGATGAGAGAGACACGCAAACACCAAACATACAGCAGGCATCGTCCGGGTCTGGATCGAACCCACGACCTCCTGTAAACCAGGCGAGGTAGTTAACGTCTCCGAGCCACCCTCGCACTGCCACAGGGGGGCGCCGGAACACCGAACCGGACGGCCTGGCCCCACGTTTTCCTGTCTGCAACGCTGCTAAAGCGCTTTGAACAACATTTTTTATTTATGTATTTACCTATGTGTACCGTACCATTGTCAACCGCGCTAATCGGAGGTTGCGGCGGGGGGGGGCGGAACAACGAAAGACAGTGGTGTGCATGCATAATGTATGTTGGTTACCCTATGACTAATAACCCAACCGTTAATGGATATCCATTGTCATTTATAGGTGTACATTAACCAGCTCCTCTCTGGCCTTCACACCTGATTGGTTCACAAGTGACGACATCACATTTGTCCACCCCCCCCCCCCCCCCCCCCCCCGTCCATTTAAGAACGAAACAAGAGGAGGATTACTCCACAACTCTGGCCGTCGCCTGATGCTGCTGCCCGTTGTAATTACTGTCGAAATGTCACGCCAACTCGAGTTCTACATGCCTACTTTGTTTCCTTGCCCCCTCCGCTGCTCTCCCCCCACCACCCCACCCACCGTGCAGGTGCTGCGTGGGCAGCAGTATGGGCGCAGCTGCGACGTGTGGAGCGTGGGCTGCGTCGTCATCGAGATGTCGGGAGCCAAGCCTCCTTGGAATGCCGAGAAGCACTCCAACCACCTGGCTCTCATCTTCAAGGTGAGGGGGAGGACAGGGGAGTGAGTGAGTGAGGGAGGGAGCCAACTCCCCCCCCCCCCCCCCCCCCCCCCCCCCCCCCCGCTGCACGTTGCGTACACAAAGACAAAGACCCCCCCACCCTGTGTATAGCCTTGACCAGACTGTTGGGGCGAGTGCTGTTAGCGAGCAGCACCTATTGAAGGCCGGCCACGGCACACGCGAGGGGGTGGGTGGGTGGGTAGCCGGCACCATCGCCTTTGCCCCTCACCCCAGTGGCGATGTTTACTACGCACCGCACCGGGTACTCATGTGAGGCCGAGTCGACCTAGGGGAGGCCCAGGACCGGTTCAGATAATCGTCACCGGCGTCGGTGGTGGCCGTGAGCGGGAATCAAACTCGGGGGGGGGGGGGGCGCGGGGTTGGTAGCTGCGCCGCCGCTAACCGCGGCGCCGCCGCTCCCCACCCTTACCCCACCGCAGATCGCGAGCGCATCCACGCCGCCCGCCATCCCAGCCCACCTGTCTCCTGGCCTGCGCGACATCGCGCTGCGCTGCCTGGAGATCCAGCCGCTGGACCGGCCACCCACTCGGGAGCTGCTCAAGCACCCGGTCTTCCGGTCGTGGTGACCGCTCACCAGCACCATCCTCACTCGGGCACCCGGTCTCTTCTGGACGTGGTGACCACTCGCCATCACCATCCTGACTTAAGCATCTGGTCTCTTCTGGACATGGTGACCGCTCACCAGCACCATCCTCACTCAGGCACCCGGTCTCTTCTGGACATGGTGACCGCTCACCAGCACCATCCTCACTCAGGCACCCGGTCTCTTCTGGACGTGGTGACCGCTCACCAGCACCACCAGCACCAGCACCACCACCCCCCTCACTGAAGCACCCAGTCAGGCAAGGGGGGGGGGGGGGGGGTGCCCACCGTTCACCTTTGACCCCCGACACTGCCTGCCCAGCGGTCCTGCTTGCTTGGCTGCCTGCCCGTCTCAGATGCAGGAGCCAGTGGCTTTCCCAGTACACTACCTCACACATCTTCTCTCTGGCGGTCTCACTCTCTTTTGCCCTCATTCGAGGACAAAAGGTGAGCGGTCCGTGTTTTTAGTGTCCTGTGAAGAGAGAGAGAAAAAAACGTGTCGTCAATATTCGATTTGTCCTTTTAAAAAAAAGATGCTTTGCCCATTCATGTTGACGTCGGTTTTCCAGAGTTTTGTTTCACTCTGGAGGACACGGGAGCGATGCCCAGCTGATCTGAGAGAACAGCTCTGGGTCGTTCAGTCGTCTGAGTTTTTTTTTTATCTGCCTGATGACACCGGGCCGGGGAGGAGGCGGGGGGGGGTTGGAGGCATCTTGACAACATGAAACAAAAAGATGTGTCGCGTGAAATTTCCGTTTTTTTTTTTTAGCCGCGACCTAAATCGAACTTTGTAAATTCTGAGAAAACTGAACGAGGAGGGGGAAACTTTTCTTCCCCACCTCGTCACGGTCGCTTCCCTGGCGCAGCGTGAGATGGAGAGAGAGGTGGGGGGGGGGGGGGGGGAAATCGTTAAATATTTCGGAGAAACTCTGCGTGACTGCCGAAAGCGATTATTTTATTTACTTTTTAAACGAGTGTTTGCCCGTAGTTTTATCGGAGGTGTGCCTTGACCTCGACGAACTCAGCCTCAGCCCTCTCCCGCAGCAGCCTCTTTGGGCGAGGCGGTCCACCAACCCTCGCTGCCTCCTCCACAGGTGCCCGGGTCACAGGCACCCACGTGCAGGGCTTTACAGATACACCACTCCCCTCCCCCCCCCCCCCCCCCGATTCACTTTCGCCGTTCTTTCAGTGAATCCATTCCGCCGTTGGCTCTGGGGAACCGGTGTCAGGAAGGCATCCGGTCGTTGATCAGCTTTGCACCTTTGCAGTCATAAAATCTTTTTTATTAGAAATATTATATTCTTGGTTCTTTCGGTAAAGTCACGTAGAAGGGAAACAATAAAATAAAAAATATATATATAAAACAATAAAATTCTCACGACGTTTCGACTGCAACACAAGCAATCATCACCTGAGAATTTTATTGTTTTATATATTTATTTATTATTAAATTTATTGTTTCCCTTCTACGTGATTTTACCGAAAGAACCAAGAATATGAATCCCTGCAGTCACGAAAGCTTTAAATCAAAATAAATATTATATTTACACTGCAGGAGGAATCCGATGAGCTATGAAGCTCTTTTTGTCACAGATGCCCAGTTCGAGGGGGCGCGGGGTAAGAGCGTCACAACAGCAAACAGTACAAGGGAAGCAAATCACCCAAACAAAGACAAAGACAACACTAAACCATCCCCATCCTACCAGGGAAAGCCCACTGAGGCATTAACTTATTTTTCAGAAGCGACCCGGCCATCGAAAATAATAGTCACTCAACAAAGTGGCCCATCGTTTGGACATTTATAGCACCTACGTTGAAGACAGAGAGCGAGAGAGACAGTCTCTTAGCAAAGGTTGCAGAGGTTCCCGTTGGCTATGATTTTTTTTCATTCTAGAGACGGGGGGGGGGGGGGGGGTCCACTTCCATCCTCCCGAGCCTTCGCGTCGTTTTCAGGGCGAGCGAGGTTCTCTCCGTGCGTGGCTCTCGGCTGTTGGGGGGCCAGACCCCCCACCGTGTTGGCGTTTGTAAAGTGCATTTTATATACACACACAAACACACGATTGTACCGCTTTCTTTTTAAAGCTTCTGCATTAAGAAAAAGGGCTAGAATTTAAATCTATGCAATTGCGCGAATGGACTTCACCCTCCTCAAGCAATAGTGACGAACCCTTAACTGTCGAGAGAGCAATGTCTTTTCTCCATCACGAGCGTTTGTTAAGGGATCCTCCAAGCGGGAGGAGGGCAACTACCGAGATCTGCGAGACCTTTGCTAGAGGTTCTTTCGCGGCCAGTCGCTGTAAACCTTTACGGGTTTGGCCAGGATTTGGCTAATGTTCACCGGATGATTAAACCAGGGGGGAGCTGAGGTTTGTCAGCGACGCCCCAAACGAGCGGCAATTATTTTCCGAGCAAGGGAGGCAACAAAACCACGGTCGGCTTCCACGGAACGTCCGTCACCATGAGCGACTGGCGCTCGCTCCGGATCCTTGGTGATCACGTGAAGTGTCATCAAGGAGGCGCTCCGTATCCTTGGTGATCACGTGAAGTGTCTCAAGGAGGCGCTCCGTATCCTTGGTGATCACGTGAAGTGCCTCAATGAAGCGCTGCGTATCCTTGGTGATCACGTGAAGTGTCTCAAGGAAGCGCTCCGTATCCTTGGTGGTCACGTGAAGTGTCATCAAGGAGGCGCTCCGTATCCTTGGTGATCACGTCAAGTGTCATCAAGGAGGCGCTCCGTATCCTTGGTGGTCACGTGAAGTGTCTCAAGGTAGCGCTACGTATCCTTGGTGATCACGTGAAGTGTCATCAAGGAAGCGCTCCGTATCCTTGGTGATCACGTGAAGTGTCATCAAGGAAGCGCTCCGTATCCTTGGTGATCACGTGAAGTGTCTCAAGGTAGCGCTCCGTATCCTTGGTGGTCACATGAAGTGTCATCAAGGAGGCGCTCCGTATCCTTGGTGATCACGTGAAGTGTCATCAAGGAAGCGCTCCGTATCCTTGGTGATCACGTGAAGTGTCATCAAGGAAGCGCTCCGTATCCTTGGTGATCACGTGAAGTGTCATCAAGGAGGCGCTCCGTATCCTTGGTGATCACGTGAAGTGTCTCAAGGTAGCGCTCCGTATCCTTGGTGATCACGTGAAGTGTCATCAAGGTAGCGCTCCGTATCCTTGGTGGTCACGTGAAGTGTCATCAAGGAGGCGCTCCGTATCCTTGGTGATCACGTGAAGTGTCATCAAGGTAGCGCTCCGTATCCTTGGTGGTCACGTGAAGTGTCATCAAGGAGGCGCTCCGTATCCTTGGTGATCACGTGAAGTGTCATCAAGGAAGCGCTCCGTATCCTTGGTGATCACGTGAAGTGTCTCAAGGAGGCGCTCCGTATCTTTGGTGATCACGTGAAGTGTCTCAAGGAAGCGCTCCATATCCTTGGTGGTCACGTGAAGTGTCATCAAGGAGGCGCTCCGTATCCTTGGTGATCACGTGAAGTGTCTCAAGGTAGCGCTCCGTATCCTTGGTGGTCACGTGAAGTGTCTCAAGGAGGCGCTCCGTATCCTTGGTGGTCACGTGAGGTGTCTCAAGGTAGCGCTCCGTATCCTTGGTGATCACGTGAAGTGTCATCAAGGAGGCGCTCCGTATCCTTGGTGATCACGTGAAGTGTCATCAAGGAAGCGCTCCGTATCCTTGGTGATCACGTGAAGTGTCTTAAGGTAGCGCTCCGTATCCTTGGTGGTCACGTGAAGTGTCATCAAGGTAGCGCTCCGTATCCTTGGTGATCACGTGAAGTGTCTCAAGGTAGCGCTCCGTATCCTTGGTGATCACGTGAAGTGTCTCAAGGTAGCGCTCCGTATCCTTGGTGGTCACGTGAAGTGTCTCAAGGAGGCGCTCCGTATCCTTGGTGATCACGTGAAGTGTCATCAAGGTAGCGCTCCGTATCCTTGGTGATCACGTGAAGTGTCTCAAGGAAGCGCTCCGTATCCTTGGTGATCACGTGAAGTGTCTCAAGGTAGCGCTCCGTATCCTTGGTGATCACGTGAAGTGTCATCAAGGAAGCGCTCCGTATCCTTGGTGATCACGTGAAGTGTCTCAATGAAGCGCTCCATAGCCTTGGTGATCACGTGAAGTGTCTCAAGGAGGCGCTCCGTATCCTTGGTGATCACGTGAAGTGTCTCAAGGTGGCGCTCCGTATCCTTGGTGATCACGTGAAGTGTCTCAAGGTGGCGCTCCGTATCCTTAGTGATCACGTGAAGTGTCTCAAGGAAGCGCTCCGTATCCTTGGTGATCACGTGAAGTGTCTCAAGGTAGCACTCCGTATCCTTGGTGATCACGTGAAGTGTCATCAAGGAAGTGCTCCATATCCTTGGTGATCACGTGAAGTGTCTCAAGGAGGCGCTCCGTATCCTTGGTGATCACGTGAAGTGTCTCAAGGAGGCACTCCGTATCCTTGGTGATCACGTGAAGTGTCTCAAGGTAGCGCTCCGTATCCTTGGTGATCATGTGAAGTGTCTCAAGGAGGCGCTCCGTATCCTTGGTGGTCACGTGAAGTGTCTCAAGGTAGCGCTCCGTATCCTTGGTGATCACGTGAAGTGTCTCAAGGTAGCGCTCCGTATCTTTGGTGATCACGTGAAGTGTCTCAAGGTGGCGCTCCGTATCCTTGGTGATCACGTGAAGTGTCATCAAGGAGGCGCTCCGTATCCTTGGTGATCACGTGAAGTGTCATCAAGGAGGCGCTCCGTATCCTTGGTGATCACGTGAAGTGTCATCAAGGTAGCGCTCCGTATCTTTGGTGATCACGTGAAGTGTCTCAAGGTGGCGCTCCGTATCCTTGGTGATCACGTGAAGTGTCATCAAGGAGGCGCTCCGTATCCTTGGTGATCACATGAAGTGTCTCAAGGTAGCGCTCCGTATCCTTGGTGGTCACGTGAAGTGTCATCAAGGTAGCAGTCTGGACGAGAGACGTTCCATTTAAGCGTCGTGGCGATGTACGCCCGGGCCGCCACGGAACATTCCTCTGCCCCTCTGTTCCACATCGAAGCACTTTTGAAAATCGGCGTCTTCTCGGCGTTGCTGGAGTTTGTGTCGCGGTCCGCTTTGTTCGTCCGCGAAACCCGCCGTCGCCGTCTTGTTGGCGGGTAGGAAGTTTCGCGTCCCCAAATTCCAGCGGGGGTTTGTCCCGTTGGAGCGCCTACGGTGATGTTGGTGAGAGAAAAACAAAAATGCTTTAATTCACGTCGCGTCGCGGCTACCGCAACCGAGCGGCCCGCCGTTTCGTCTCTCAGCTCCACGTTCGTCGCCCCCCCCCCCAACAACCCCCCATTCCAAACTTACGCGACTAGAGAGACGGGACAGCGAGCGGCGCAGGGCTTCTAGGCTAGCAGCGTCGAGATATAGGTCGCATAATACAGATTTGGTTTTTTTTGGGGTTCGATCGCGTAAATATAAATGTGTCGTTAAACCCGCCACCACCCGACACGGCCAATTGGTAAGGTTTGGCACGTGAAACAGAACGTGCCAATTCGTCGCGTGTGGTGTGTTGCGTGGTGTGTGAGCGGTGCGGTGTGTGTGTGTGTGTGCTGGGTTTAACGACACGCACTCTTTGGTTCAGTCGGCAAAAGTCACGGAGGTAGAAATACAATTTTAAAAAATCGCGACGTTTCGATCGCAACACGAGCACTTCTTTCTTGCTGTGGCTGTTCCACCCGATGAAGGTCGCTTGTGTTGCGACCGGAACGTCGTGATTTGTTTAATTCTATTTCTACCTCTGTGACCTTACCGAAAGAGCCAAAGAGTACGTTGTGGGTTATCTGGTTTGCACTCTTCTCTCCAACGCGCGTGTGCGTCTGTCGTCACTGTAATCGAAGTGGTTTTGAGTTTCGCGCCCTTGGCGTCGTCTTTGCTTTCCTCCGCTGTTTCGTCCGCCGATTATTATCGCAGTAGTCGGTGTCGTCCGGTAGATTGTTTTTGTTTGTTTCACCAACCGCGCCTCATCGATGCATCCACATGCCCCGCCCCCCGCCCCCCGCCCCCCCCGGCCAGAAATTATAAATCGATGAGGAACTCAACAACTCCCGAACCCCCCCCCCACACCCGCGCCCCCCCCCCACCCCCCCCCCCCCCTTCTGTTGGAGTCTCAAATTCTCCGTTCACGCGGTGTAAGGTTTGCAGGAGTGGTTTTTAGCGTTTAAGTTTTTCTTTCCAGCCGAGTGTTGTACGTGTCGTCGACCCCCCCCCCACCACTCCCTATGCCAAGCGTGGGGAGGTGCGGGCGGGGGGGGGCTCCCCCCCCCCCATCTCTGTGTTGCGCGTCTCTGAAGCTACCTCGCAGTTGTCGCGCGCGAGTTTGTTACCAAAGTTTTCTCTGGACATTCACACGCCCCCCATTGCCCCTCCCCCCCCCCATCTCTCACCCCCCCCCCCCATCTCTCACCTCCCTCCCCCCATTCATTTCTACCCCCTCATTCCCTCCCCCCATCCCCCCCCCCACCCTTCGCACCCCCCCCCCCCCCCACAACTTCCATCACGTGCTGATCGTCGCCAGCGACGTCACAGTAGCGTCGACGTTTCTGTCCCCACCCCGTTTGACCGTGACGTCATTAACCCCTCCTATATACACGCGCGCCTATTATATATAAACCACCTTGCTGGTTGTCGTGTTTTTATACAGCGTATATACTGTATATTATTATATATTATAAGACAAAAAAAATCGTAACTTTTTGCAATCGGTTGTCTCCCTACGCTAAGAGAGTACAAAAGTCATTTAAAAAAAAATATTTCAGTAAATGTCCTTTTTACAGATTTGTATACTCTTTAAAAAAAAAAGTGAACGCACCCGCCACACATACACACAGACACACCTTGTTCCACCTGTGACTTTGTAATAAAAAAAATATATAAACATCGAGACGATGTTCGGGTTTGTTCCGATTGGATTGCCTGGCCAGCAGCGGCAGCAGACGCCACATAATCCATAAGGGGTTTTTTTTTTGGCAGGGGGGTTTATTAGTTGGCCTAAGTATAAATGTGCGTCGTTAAACATCACCCCAGCCACCGGACCACAGCCAATTAGTTAAACGCAACATGCCCCATGAGTTACGAGTTCAGCACTCCACCCTTCGTGTGTTGGAGAGTAATCCCACAAACTCTGTAGCGGCCTTCCTCTCCAACACGCTGGTGGTGCTAAACTCGTAACTCGTTTGGCCACGATTTGTTTACGTGACAAACCTCGCCCCCCCCACCCCCCTCTTTAACTTATTGGCTGTGTCGGGGTGGTGGCGGGTTTAACGACGCACACATTTATATTTACGCGATCTGATAGTAGTCACGAAAGCCTGTTGCTGCTGCTGCTACGACGCGTTGTTAAACCGTGCTGCCCCCGTTGCTTTACCGTAACAAGAAGTTGTTGAATTTCGATTTAAAGCTTTCGTGACTGCAAGGATTCATCCTGTTTGGTTCTTTCGGTAAAGTCACCACCACGTAGAATGAGATTAAAATTATAAAATAAAACAATAAAATTCTCACGACGTTTCGGCCACAACACAAAGCGGCCTTCTTCAGGTGAAAGGAACAAACCTGTCGGGACGACAGCGCTACACTCAACGCTGCTAAGATTCGCAGCGTCTTTTAAGCTGGTTGAGAGAAGTGAGAATTTTATTGTTTTATTTTATGATTTCATTCTCATTCTACGTGGTGACTTTACCGAAAGAACCAAAGAAGACGAAGTTGTTGTTTAACACGACAACGCGTACCACGTGATGTACCACCACCACCACCACGCCAGGTAGTTATCACATGCATTGTACACTACCGAATGCTATTCTGTTATAAGTTCCGCACTCATAACACGGCAGCAGCGGCGGCGGCTTTCGACTCCGGCCGTCGAACGCAGACGGTGGTCACCGCATCGTCCTCGCGCGACGCTTTCAGATGCGCTTTTCCGCGTCCGTCTGGAACACTCTCTTCGTTCCGCGACCAATATTAGTCGTAATAAACTGGGCGTAGGCCCCGGGGCCGGCCCAGGCAGGGGAACGCTGGCGAGAGTCCGTGTATAGTAATGTATGGTATCGTGTATAGTAGTGTGTTGTAGTGTGTTGTATAGTGTGTAGTGCAGTGTGTAGTAGTGTATAGTAATGTATAGTATAGTACTATATAGTGTAGTGTATAGTAGTGTATAGTAATGTATAGTATCGTGTATAGCATAGTGTAAAGTAGTGTGTAGTAGTGTGTAGTGCAGTGTATAGTAGTGTGCAGTAGTGTATAGTAGTGTATAGTATAGTACTATATAGTGTAGTGTATAGTAATGTATAGTATCGTGTATAGCATAGTGTATAGTAGTGTATTGTAGTGTGTAGTGCAGTGTATAGTAGTGTGCAGTAGTGTATAGTCGTGTATAGTAATGTATAGTATAGTACTATATAGCATAGTGTATAGTAGTGTATAGTAATGTATAGTATAGCACTATATAGTGTAGTGTATAGTAATGTATAGTTTAGTACTATATAGTGTAGTGTATAGTAGTGTATAGTAATGTATAGTATAGTACTATATAGTGTAGTGTATAATATAGTGTAGTACTATATAGTGTAGTGTATAGTAGTGTATAGTAATGTATAGTATAGTACTATATAGCGTAGTGTATAATAGTGTATAGTAATGTATAGTATAGTACTATATAGTATAGTGTGTAGTAGTGTATAGTATGGTACTCTATAGTATAGTGTATAGTAATGCATTGTATAGTACTATATAGTGTAGTGTATAGTAATGTATAGTATAGTACTATATAGTGTAGTGTATAGTAGTGTATAATATAGTGTAGTACTATATAGTGTAGTGTATAGTAGTGTATAATATAGTGTAGTACTATATAGTGTAGTGTATAGTAGTGTATAATATAGTGTAGTACTATATAGTGTAGTGTATAGTAGTGTATAATATAGTGTAGTACTATATAGTGTAGTGTATAGTAGTGTATAATATAGTGTAGTACTATATAGTGTAGTGTATAGTGTAGTGTACAGTAGTGTAGTGCTGGAGTCAGTCGCCAGGGAAAGGGAGGTGTGGAGCGCCACCACCGTCACTTGACGTCAAGAGGACTCGGGAAGAAACGTGAATGGCGTGAAATTCGGTTTGTGACGAAAATTAACAATGTCACGGGGAACACGGGGCGAGCGAAGTCTCTGTGTGTGTGCAACCACCACCACTTTCAAAATTACTGTCGTGTCTACAATTTAACCGACGTCAGATCGGACTCCCTGCACCACCCCCACCACCCCCCTCGCTCTGCCCTCGTCACAACCCTCGCCCGACCGACCGTGGTCCGAGAGGTCCATTTCACGTCTTGGTCGTAAGCAGAGAGACCGCAGCGCGGGTGACAGAGAGCGTTTACCGTGCGAGCGAGCGAGCTGGCGGGGGGGTCAGGGTTCAGACTGCGGCGCGTGTACACACACCACACAACACACATACCACACCGCACACACCACACAACACACACCACTCACACACCGCACACACCACACATACCATACCACACACCACACACACCATACCACACACACGACACACACAACACACACCACACAACACACATACCACACCGCACACACCACACAACACACCCCACTCACACCACTCACACACCGCACACACCACACACACCACACACACCACTCACACACCGCACACACCATACCACACACCACACACACCATACCACACACCACTCAAACACCGCACACACCATACCACACACCACACACACCATACCGCACACACCACACACCGCTCACACACCACACAGACCACACACCGCTCACACACCACAGACCACACACCACACATACCACACACCACACGACACACACACCACACACCGCTCACACACCACACACACCACACACCACGCAGACCACACACACCACAACGCTCACACCACGCAGACCACACACCACACCACCACACACACCACACCACCACACACACCACACCACACCACCACACACACCACCACACACACCATACCACACACACCATACCACACCACACACACCATACCACACACACCATACCACACCACACACCATACAGACCACACCACCATACCACACACACCATACCACACACACCACCACACACCACACACACCATACCACACACCACACACCATACCACACACCACACATACCACACACACCACACCACCACCACACACCACCACACACCACCACCACACCACACACACTATACAGACCACACTCGGGGGAGAGAGGGAGAGACACGGAGACATCGGAATCACGATTTGTATTTACCCTGGAGAAACCCGATGAGCTATGAAGCTCTTTTTCACATGTGCCCAGTCCACAGAGAAGATGTAACGAGACGGAGACACCGCCTCGAAAACAAACAGCGCAATTCGAGTGTCAGTTCCACTTAATCCACACCCCCCCCCCCCGACGGCCGTCTTTGTCTCCCCAGTGTTGATGTTTTACACAGCGGGTCCTTGAGTGCTGGGTAGTGTTCAGAGTGCGAGAGATGGATAGACCACCTTTACAACACCACAATTCAAGCGAAAATTACACTTGCATTAAACTGGTTTATTTATTTTTTAGCAGGTGTAGCAGCTCTTTTTTTAGAAGCGAC